GATTGACGTTACTTAGTTCTGGTTGTGCAACAGATTCACCTTGAGAGCTTTTTTCATAAACTAAAAACCAGCAAATGAATAAAATAAAAACTAAAAACAGATGCATGAGATTCACCTGTGATCTAATGAACTGGGAACCTCAGAGGAAGGAACCCAGGCAGGAATGTTTCTTTCTAGCTTCTCAAGAAATCTTTATACACAGGTTAAGTTTTAAAAAATAAATATTTTTTGAATAAATAAACTATTACATTCAGAGTCTGACTTTTTAGACAGTTATAATGAAATACAGATTTATAAGGAGGATCTGCTGCTTCTTGTTAGGTACCATCGAGTCGAGTATGATTCACAACAACAAAAGATCTGAAACCAGCCCTATCCTGCGCATCCTCAAACTTCCTGACACACGAGAGCCCATTGCAGCAGTCATCGTATCAATCCACCTGGTTGAGGGTCTTCCTCTCCTTCGCTGACCCTCCACCCTTTCCAGCATCATGTCCTTCTCCAAGGAATAGCCCCTCCTAGCAACATGCCCAAAGTATGTTAGATGAAGCTTAATCATTCTTGCCTCCAAAGAGCACTCAGGCTGCACACTCTCCAAAACTTATCTATTTGCTATTAACCAAAATTAATTTTTTTCATTAGCATTTGCCAGTCAATTATAGAGGATTCAAGAGCATTATGAATAGGCCTCCAATTTTGAGATTATAAATTTCATGTCTCTAGGTAACAACAAACTTGTGGCTAACTCTTAAAAGGAAGAGGAACCCCAGAACACTTAATCGTGCCACTGCGAAACCTATACTTGGACCAGGAGGCAGTTGTCAGAACAGGGCAAGGAAACACTGCGTGTTTCAAAATTGGGAAAGGCGTATGCCAAGGATGTCTCCATACCTTTTCAACCTATATGTAGAACAGATTATCCAGGAAGCTTGGCTGTATAAGGAGAAATGGAGCATCAGAATTGAAGGACGATTCATCAACAATGTCGTTATGTAGATGACACAACCCTGCTTGCTGAAACTTAGGAGGACCAGAAGCGCTTGCTGTGAAAGGTCAGGGACTGTAACAATCAATATGTATTGAGGTTCAATAGTAAGAAAACAGATTCTCACCACTGGGCCAACTGGCAGCATCATGATGGCTACTGAAGAGACTGAGACTGTTAACAGCTTTTGTTTGCTAGGCTCCACAATCATCACTCTTGGCACCAGCATCCAGGAAATCAAAAGACTTATTGCGATGGAAAAGTCTGCTATTAGGGACCTCTCCAAAGTAATGACGATCAGTGATGTCACTCTGGAGACTAAGGTGGCCCGATACAGTCCATGGTCTTTGCAATCACTCGCTACGTGTCAGAGACAATGACTAGGGAGGACAGAAGGAGAACTGATGCCTTTCAGCTGTGGTATTGGAGAAGACTATACCATGTACTGCTAAGAAAACAAACAGGTTTGTCCTAGAGAGGCTTAAATCAGGCTGCTCCTTGGAGGTTAGGATTCTCAAGCTTTGTCTGACATACTATAGACATGTTGCAAGGAGGGACCGGTCCTTGGAGAGGGGCATCATACTTGGAAGGGTGGAGGAACAGCGTAGGAGAGGAAGATCCTTGATGGGGTGGACTGATTCAGTGACTGGAGTAATGGGGTGGGTGTGTCAGAGACAGTGAGATTGTCACAGGATAGAACAGGGTTTAGGGCTGTTGTACATAGGGTCACTATGAGTCACAGGGGGCTTGATGGTACATAACAACAACAGCAAAAACAGGTAACAAGTTCAGAATCTAAGGGTCATCCTTTTCTCGTTCATGTCCAGAGCATCCCAGATGCAAGTTGAAGGGCCAGTTTTTGTAGTTTTTCTCTTAGAATCTCTCCAACTTTATTTCTCTCAAGTTTTTGTTGCTGATCTTAACGCTCTAATAACCTGATCTGTCACAAGTCTTTCTTCAGCCCAAACCACCGTGTACTGCATGATCATTCTCCTCTTACACAGTCATTATCCTATCAAATCTCTGCTCACAAACTCCTGTGCGCCCACTGCCAAAGTCTTTATCTTGACATTCCCTACACCTTGTTCCTGGTCTACCTTTGTTTTCTCTCAATCTAGACAAAAACTTACAAAATGCTCGCTAAGAACGATGAGAAACTAAAGGCAATATTAAGATGGCTGAGAAAGTTATCACCCCAAACCAAAACAAACAAAACCAGCTGCCATAGAACTGATTCTAATTCATGGAAAACTCTGTGCTCCACCGAGGCAGATTTTTCTCAAGTCAATTATCAGGACTTTCTTTGGAGGTACTTCTGGGCAGCTGAAAACCTCCATCCTTTCTGCTAGGAGCTGGGTGCAAAAAAGAGGCAAAGGGAAGCTGAAGGCTTAAGCATGGACAATTAGGGACTCTTTGCTAAGGGTTTGGATTTCAGCATTTACTCAACACTTGTTGAATGACTCACAGACTGTGAGGTGAGCACTAGGAATCAAGAGGTGAGCAGGAAAAACCGACCGCACTTACTGAAGATGAGGAACACATGGTCCAGGTGGTACCTAAGCATCAATGTGTCTGATTACCTTCACGGGACACAGATGTGGAAAGGAGCTCAGTGATTATATGAAATACCAGAAGGGATGAGGCACAAGGCTGTAGCGGAGGTAACAGAAGAGATAAAGGCCTGAGAGTCACTCATGAAGACGGGCTTCAAGTTTAACACTTGAGTAAAGCACCTGGGCGGGAACAAGGACAAATGAAATGTAAACAGAAATCAGACTGGGAGGCTCGAGGGTGAAGAGTGACTGGGAAGGAGCATGGTATCTACTTCTTGATAAAGGTCTAGACTATATAGGAATATCTATTACACAGAATATGCTCTAATCAAAACCCACCAAATGGTCTAAGATGTGTGCCAAGCATCACATGTAAATTTTACCTGCAACAGAAGCCAAACAAATTTAAAACTCCCAATAAACAAACAACTGAAAATCAATACTGAACTCATACTAAAGCTAAGCCAACTGAAATGGTGAAAAATCGGACACGCACGATGTCTGGAGGTGACTCTGAAATACAGTAAAAAAATGTAAAGATGGATCCATGGATAGACTGGGCCATGGATTACTATATACAAATAAAGCCAAATAAATGTTAATTACAGGATCTTATGGGAGGGTATACAGTCTTTGCTGCACATATTCTTTAATTCTTTGTGTCTGAAAATGTCTGTAATAAAATGTCGAGGAAGTGATTAAGCATAGGCTGCTGTGCCTGGGTAGATCATAGATCAGAAGAGGGAGGACGGAGGTTTAGGAGCGTGAATGACAACCCCAGTCACACAGTGGTCTGAGACACCCAAGGCATTCAAGCACCAGCATTTATCAGGCAGTCAGAAGCTAGTCCTAGAAACCTGGCTGAGTTATTTCACGATGTCATCTAAGTCTTTCAGCCTCCATGTGCTTCCTTCTACTGACGCCCCTTTCCCCGAGGCCTCTCTGGAAAGGCTTTATCCCGTTACACCTTCAGCACCGTACGATTACTCTATGGAGTTACCATGTGACACCGGAACGACAGAATCACACACAAATACACGATCTAGTGAACAAATGCTCAAGTGAACAAAAGCTGGCCTGATTTGTAAACATTAGTTCACAGATTAGTACACTGATTTTTGGCTCAGAAGGTATAGCTAACTGTTCCTTTCTAAAGTATTTCTCACAAGGTGCCCTTTTTAAAACAGACACTATCTTGTACCACAATTATAGACTAAAATGAGACTCAATCTCAAATTCTTAACTTGTATTTTCTCCTGAGGAGCTTTCTTTTTCGATACTACCTGACATGTCAGTTTGCAGAACTAAAAGCAGTTGTCCTCAGGTGGCCAAACTAGCAATGATGTTTTTTTCTTCCCCTTTACCTACTAGTCTGAGTTTTCAAATGTCTAGAAAACCAATATACTATACCTCGACAACTTGGGGGAAAGATTTGTTTCTTTTTTTAAGGGAACCCTATAATGACATAGTTCCCGTATCGTGTGGTATAATGCTGGAAAATTTCTCAAGTGTGAGGAAAGCAATCAAACTGAAGTGACTGTTTTCTCATTCTTATCTGTCCAAAGGAGGTGCACTGCCATTCCAAAGGCATGTGGTTCAAATCCACCAGGTGTTCCATGGCAGAAAGATGCACCATCTCCTCCTATGTGATTAAAATGCCTCTGAAAATCCTGGAGGGTCAGCTATGAATTGGCTCTGCCTTGATGGTATGCAACAACAACAACAACAACAACAACAACAACAACAATCTGTGAACTCCCTGAGACCGCACCACCTGGCACCTGGCAATAGAAAGCACTCAACTGGTCAAAGACGACTTGATACACTCCAGTTTGGCACTAAACAAGGTACCAGAGAATATCAAATACTAGTGGCACCCCATTAGCTTGTTCTATTATCTCTACTGATTTTGAAAATCAGCTTTTTTCCATATTGACCTCACAGAGCAGCACCTCCCACCTCTCAAACACCCCAAGATGACAGTGGTTCTGAGTGAAAGACACTGTGCTCAGCTCCTTTAAGAATTCTAAGGAGCAAATGGAGCTCTGGTGGCCTAGTGGCAAGATGCTGCACTGCAATCCCAGAGGTACATGGTTCAAATCCACCAGATGCTCTGCTGGAGAAGGAGGGGGCAAGCTCCTCCTGTACCAGTCAGATCTGATTTGACGGTACACGTAAAAATAATACAATTAAAAAAAAAAAAAGAATTCTAAGGAGCAGATGGAATAAGGCAAGGCATTCCCACAGGGACAGAACAAGGCTGTTAAGGAAGCCCTCAGAAAACTAAGATTGCTCCTGTCTTTGCGCCCAACAGAGTGGCCAGTGGTAACATCTAACACTTTAGGAGTCCTGTCCCATAGCCTTCCCAGCCTCCTTTCCCAGCATTCCTTCACCTTGGCTGTTTCACTCCAAGTCCCTTTACCATTTCCAATACATACGTATACATTATTTTTCCTTTTTACCTTTTCTCCCCTTTCTCTTTCTCTGTCCTTTTCTTCTCTTTTCTTTTTCTTCTCACTATGCCCATCTGTGTGGAGGCCAGGAAGCGGTGGGGGAGGGGCAGCCGCCGTGGCAGGGTAGGGGGTGTTGGGGGGAGGGGCAGGAGTCATGGCTACCTCTCCCACGGTCACGGTCCCGGCTGCACTGGAAAGTCCTGAGCTCCTCTTGGATTTGGAGTGCCTCTTCTCTTTATGCTTCTCCTTGTCTTTCTTCTTTTTGCTCTTCTTTGACTTCTTCTTCTTCTTGATTTCCCGGTAGGAATCGTCTATCACTAACTCTCCGGCTTCGAGTTCTCCACCGGAGGAGGAGTCCGACTCCACCAGGATAGGTTCAATCCCCGAGAGTTCCAGGTTAGCACTGTGGGGTTCTGGGAACTGGGCAGCCTCGGGGCCCTCGGGGCCTGGCGACGCGTGTGGGTCCGCAGAGGACTTGTGCTTCTTGCGGGCCGACTTCAGGAAGCTCTGCAGCTCGTGCCCCAGCAGCAGAGGCCCTTGCTCGTCCCGAGCTGATTTCTTGGAGGATTTCTTCACAGCCGACTGCTGAGAAGGGTACTGGAAAGACTCCTCGTCGACCGAACTGCTGCCCTTCTCCTTGGGCGAGAGGATGAGCTTCATCTTCAGGCCGTCGGGCTCACGAAGGGTCAGCGTCTCCGTGTTAACGTAGAGTGGCTTCATCTTCTTGGGCTTGTGGGCGCTGCCGTCCTCCAGGGACAGTTCCCCGCTGCCCCCACTGCCTTTCTTCCTGTGGTGCTGGTGCTCCTTTTTACTCTCCGAGTGGCCTGAAGAACTGGAGGATTTCTCCCCTGGCTTTTTGGAGGCCTTGGAGCTCGTGGCCAATGGGGACGTGATAGCCTTTAGTAGGTCCATAGCTGTATCTGTGGGCTGTGGGCTAGGTCTTTTCTTTTTCTTCTGTGATGATTCCAAAGCCGAAATGTCTGGAAATAATCAAGAGAAATGATGTCAATAGGATAGGAAGCAATTCCCAACACGCTTCCTCTCTCACCCCGAAACACCCACCTGACAAGAGGAAAAGGCTAACAAGAATGCTGTCAGGGGAGGTCCTTCCACTCATTGCTAGTTCACAGAGGAGGCTCAGGTGCTGCCTGGCTTGGCAGAGCCTGCCTCTGATCCAGGAGAGAGTTCTCATCCCTGCAATGGCTTCTCTTCATGGAGTCTTCAAGAGCTCCTAGGCAAGCTTACCCAGGAGCAGGCCTACCGCTGTGGCACTAAGGGAGCTTACACAGCAGCTCAGAATGTCGACAACCACCTGTGTCTGTGTATGGGACAGCTGCATTCTGGGAAAGGGCTAATCTCTTCCGCTACATGGACAGCGTAGCTAGGAAGAAATGGTGTTGTGAGTCGATAGATACTGGATGAAGGAGTAACCCATAGGTGCAGGCCAGAGGGCCCAAGGACTACATATGGCAAAGGAACGCTGAATAACAATGGGCTTTAAGATAAGTGGATGATTATTGGGGGGAGAAGGAACCTGGTACCTGGTGTATCACAAATGAAGACTGTTCTTCTATGCTGAATCCTCCAAAATACCAGCCCTCCACCTCTCTCCTCCTTCACACAGGTTTATCGGCACTCAGAACAAGAACCACTGTCCTGTTAAATAGGCCACTGAGTCAGCAACATCTGGATCCCTTCCCGCTACCCCGACGCCAAGTACCAGCGATGCGCTTCTCCCACCTGGTGCCCGCTCCCGTCCTCACCTCCATAGTAGTAATCATCAGAGGAGTGCTTCCTCTTCTTCTTGTGCGTGTCCGTCCCCAAGAAGTAAAGTTCACTATCCTGGAGTTAAAAAGGGAGAATAACCGACCCATGAACGAGATGGTGAGCCAAAGTAGTTTGGAAGGTCTCTTACTGATAGTTTTTAACTTCAGAAAACAAGGTAAAACATAAGAATAAGTTAAAAAGAAATTTTATTAAAAAAAATAGACATGAGTATTTTTCTTTTTACAAGTTTTTATAAGATATAGTCTTTTTCAAAGTTTAGGAAATGTAAGAAATTTAAAGTTAATGGGAGGGACTGGAGGGTATTACGCTGAGTGAACGAACTCAAGTGTCACAAGGACAAATACTGTATAAAAATCCTTATTGTAGGAGAGCTCTGGTGGCCTAGTGGCAAAAAGCTGCACTGCAATCCCTGAGGTGAACGATTCAAATCCACCAGACGCTCTGCTGGAAAAGGAGGGACAATCTCCTCCTGTACCAGTTGGATCCAATTTGATGGTACACCCCGCCCCGCCATCATTATTGTAAAATGAGTATGAGAATCCAAGGTGGGAGAGGGTGGAAGCAGAGTGGAAAGGATGGGTAGGGTAGGGGGTGTTAATCACAGGGTTTTACAATTTGTTGGGTAGGGGGGTGAAGGAAATGGGAAGGATCTTTTGTGAAACACAATGTATTCAAACGTAAATAAATCAGTATTAAAATTTAAACAAATGTTAAAGTGAAAAGCAATTCAAATTTTTTTTTTTTTTAATTCAAAGTAAAAAACTTTCCTAATAAATTTCTTAAATCTTTACCTTTAACTTCTTCTTGGAAGAATTCCTGACCTGAGCAGCGATTTCTTCCTCTTCCCTTAAAAAATCTTTGTAAGAACGTTTCTTTTCTCGTTGGCTTCTGCCAGCTGCCAGTCCAATGTCCTCAAAGCTGTGATCTCCGTCAAAGCAGTCTGAGCAGCACGAGTGGGTTTGGAAAAGGAAATGAGAAAGTTAATTCAGGAATGAGCAAATAAGATCACAGGAAGTGAAAGCAGTTATGAATGCTTCCTTTCAAAATGAAAATAATGTCTCTTTAAGTCCAGTGAAATACAGGACTAAATCCAAGGGGACAAGAGTGTTTGTTGACGACATGGCTGCAAAACGCAAGCATCAAACCTGAGAGACAATGCTTCCACACCGTGCAAGGCCCCAGGTGCATCCTCAGACATGGGGTCTTAAGCTGTGATTTGGCAGGTGGACTCAGAGGTAAGGCTGACGGACCGTAGAGGTAAGGCTGGACGGATTTGGGATTCATGTGCTGTGCTGCTCTGTGGGAGTCCAATACGTGATTCCTATTCCCAGACTCCGGCACACTGGAGCTGGCAAGGACCACGAGTGCTGCAGGGGATCGCCCCAATAAACTAGACCTGGGCTTCAGACTCTAATGCTGAAACCCCTGTCCTGGTTTTCGTTTCCATGGGCTCAGCCTAGGGATGTCCTGGAGGCTGAATACCATTAATAGTGCGCTGGACCGTCACTTGGGAGTCCAAGCTGTCGTGCCCAGTCCTGGTTACTATGTCCATGGGCTGCAAGGACTGAAGCGGATACCCCCTTTGGAATGCTTCTCAGTTTAAGGGGCCATACCTTCTTTCTTCAAGGAGTCATCATAAGCCATGGTGGTCTTGCAGGGCCTTTGAGAATGTGTCACTGTGTCCAGGCTCCTTCTCGTCTACAGGACCAGGTCTGAGAAACAAAGAAGGAAAACCCTCCTGTAATGTGAAGTCACGTGGAGAAGAAACCTTCCAGATGGAAATGCGTGGTGATCCAAGGGCTGGCTGGATGGGCAGCAAGACATCAAGGAGTGTCCTGCCACCTCCTCATTCTGCTGGCAAATCTCCGGGGCCAGAGACTCCAGGGATATAAGGCTTAGATTTGATTCAGGAATTAAAGGTGTGGTTCAAGAAAGGACGTACAATACTTCCTATGTAAAAAAAATTAAGTATTTAAAATTTCTAAATTGCCAAAAGGAACAACAATATAGTAATACTGACAGTGAGAGAGAGGCAGGCTCAGCTGTGATTACAAAATGCACAAGCAAAGCAGGCTGGTGAGGAAGGTAAGATCACACAATACATGGAAAGCCTTGGAAATCTTACCAATTGGATAAATTACACTGTAAGATCTATTACATCCCAATTAGAATAAAAGTCATAATATTCTAGGGATATTAAATATCTTAAAAACTTTTTGTCTTTCTCCTGTTATTTTGTTAAACTAAGAGATTGCTCACATCCACGTAAGCATAAAAGTAAATACATCTAGGAATACTGTTAAGCTTAAACTTATAGTCGGGCTCAGTAAAAATAAGAATTGCTACTTCTCTATTGGTAATGAGTGGTTTTTTTGTGATTGCTAAAATTTCTACTAATTAGAGAAATGATTAGTAATTTAAATTTGCTAAATACTGGATTAAAACTTTTACTGACATTCAAGTTTATATACCAATTCTGACTGGGAAAGATGACAGTGCTATAATTGTACAGTAAGACAAAGTCAAATGTTTCAAGGGCAGGATCTGCAAAGTTACAAGTCCTGTGGGAAAAGTTTTTATAATAAATGTAAAAAATATAGATACAAAATATGGTGAAGATTCTCTCATCCACTTTAGGAAATGTTTAACTGCTACTGATTGGTTATGGTTACTGAAGTTTTATTTTGTTTTTGCTACTAATGTAACGAGATTTATTTCAAGCAGGTATGATGAATCCTTCTAAGGAGCTATGGATGACACTGAAGTGTGCAACTTCTGTGACACAAAGGATAATGTTTAATTAACACATTTCATGAGCTTAGATTTAAGAAACCAAAGGCTTCTTTGTAAAAGCCAGATAAAATACAATGCAGAGATAGGTCTGCATTTTAAGTATTAGCAATTAAAAAAAAAGTATTAGCAAGAAGGTTTACAAGAATGAGGAGGAGAATCAAAGCAGTTCTCCATGTCCCCAATGGAAATGAAGAATGGTGAAGTATGGATTTGGTTAAAGAGGGGCTAAAATGAAATGAACCGGATTACTTTACAGAGAAATCAGAAAACTGTTTTCTCAAGAAATATTTTCACAAGAAATGAAGGGCATAGGAAAATGAAGCCAGGCTTCATATAAAAATATGAGGAGCAAGATACAGAATGTTGCTAGTGTTTCATATTTCACAGCATTAACTAGGAAAACTTCTCAACAGAAACTACTGTCCTCTTTGCACCCAAGTTTTGTTGTTCTAAACGGAGTGGAGGGGGAACAGCATAAAGTATTACAGTCATTCATTTTAAAACAGCATATGCTTCCATTGGCACCAGTATATTGAGTTTTTAATATATATATACATACACACATATCTATATATATCTCACATTGGTTTCATATATATATATATATGGATTAAATTTATCTATATAAAAATTGGTATTGCCAAAAACTAACATGAGATTGCAAGTTAAATTCTTTCCATGCCAAAAAAAAAAATTGGGCAAAGAATAAGAACTACTTTTGGGGAATGGAGGGAATCCTAAATATTCAATGTCCTTAACATGGTCATCAATCTGTCAACAACAAAATGAAATTCTAATCTTGCTTGAAATGACAAGCAGGCTTTCTCTTCTCTTTGGCAATACCAAAGGACAGAGTTAAGCAATCTCACATTCAGAAAGTAGTGCCTCTGAATAAAGAACCAAAAAGGAAAACAGCAACAGATTTACAGGACAATGAAATGGAGCTCTCTAGCCTCATAACTGCTTTTAAAAACAACCTGCAGATTTAAAAAAGTTCTAAGAGGAAAACAGAAAACTAGGAGCTATTCTTCAGAGGCACAAGACAATCTGGAAAACGTGGGCTGGTCTTTAAATCTTAAGGATTAAGCCTGTCACTGTTTAAATTTTCTTGCGAGAATGTTAAGAGAATTTTTCAAGTTACAGGACTGATTAAATAACCTGTAGGAAAATCTGAGGGAAGTCTGAAGGCAAACCCAAGTCACTAATGTACTTGGTCAGCCAAAGGCTTGAAAAATGAAAATGAAACAATGGCATTATCAGTTAAAACTTGGGAGGACCACGATGGGCCCTGGATTTTTAAATTCTTTTACATCAGCAATATTATTGCAGCACAAGATCTAGTTTTGGTTGCTGACTCATAAAAGAAAGATAATATTAGATAAAGTAGTCTGAAGCAACAGGGTGGAAAAAAGGCAGACTTACAGCAACATTTATATAAGATCAGTTTGAGTCCCTGACATTCCTTCACATTGCAACAATTATCCACAGTAAATTTGGAGTCAAGGGTAGGCAGGCAGCTATCCAGATTTAAGGGAAATGAAAAATAGCAGATTTGGTTTTCACATTAGTAAACAGAGGCCATAATGAAATTAAATGTGGGCAAACGTGAAACAGGTGTTAAAACTTTTCCTGAGGTCCATAATCTTCGAGTTTATAGAATTCATTGTTGCTCATTTCAAGAGGCAGGGATAATTTGACAGTATTTATCTCAGTGTGCTAAGAAATAACAATGTAAGTAAAACTTTGGCCATTAAACACTGTATGGGAAAAACATGGTATCCTTTTGAAAAGAAATACTTATGTAATATGTAAATTGTGAAATGGTTCCTTTCATATTTTTCTTCAGGTTAAAAGGGAGCAGTTCTTCCATTTGGAGATAAAGATACAAATTATGTTTATTGTTGTGGTGTACCAGTTAGCATCAACTCACAGGTGATACATTTCAACCACACAGGAGATTGTCCATCTCTCTCTCTCTCTTGCAGAGCAGGTGGTAGATGCGAACTGCCACGTGCTTTGGCTATTACCAATGTGGTAAAATTAAAAATCATCAGCTGTAGTACTTGGGAGCTCTCCTGGGAGTCGCTGCTAATCTAAATGCCAGGGCCTCTGGCACTTCAAGTCCACCACGGTGGGACAATCTCCTCCCCTGATCTTCCCCTTGGAAACTCAATGGAGGATCTGCCATGAGTTGATTCCCATCCCACCGCCAGGGTTTTGAGTTTGACTGTACTTTTATTTGTTAAAATTTAAATAGTAAATACTGGGGCAGAAAGTTTCAGGTGACTTTTTGGTTGTGATGCGAGCTCCCCCATCCAGAATGTACATGAACGTTGGAGAAGCGGCTGAGTGCCATCAGGTGGGTAGCAGGTGAAAGAAAAGCAGGTCTTATTCACGATGAGAGCCTTGGCCCAGGTTCCACGCTGTCTGCATCCAACTCTCCTTGCAGAAGTCAAACTGCCAGTCAGTTTAGGTAAGAAATGTACATCCCATTGGGCTGTCACGAGCTTCTGGTTTTCGTGTTTTAAAATGTGTGCAACTTCTAGGACATGCGCAGGAACTGCCTTCTCATTTCTGTCCAAGTCCCCTCCAATCTCAGGCGCTGACTTTGAATCCTTAATTGCTCAAGTCTTCCCCAGGAGCTACCTACCTATGCAGCACTCCCAGCCCCTGCCAGCCAGCTTGGGATGGGGTCTGGATCTTCTCATTTAGGGGAACCACGACCACCGCACAGATTGGCTGACAAAACACATTCCCCCCAATACCAGCAATATTTTTTTGTGACCAGCCTTGTCCAACCAACAGGCTTTATTGGGCATTCAGGTTTTAAGGCGTTTTGGGGTTGGTTGTTTTTTTTTTAATTTATTCTTCTATCTGAGAATATAATCAGCCACCACCTTAGGCAGCAGAAAAGGGGGGGGGGGACAGATGCTTCTCTGCTTATTGCATGACATACTCCACAGGTAATAGCTGTGCAGTGCAGGGAATGGAGGGAATGGGCCTCCGCAGGTGATGAGACCACGAAGGCACATCCCAACTAGGTCGCAGGCAAAGAATAGACACCGTACCAAGTTATTTATGCATAGGGTCCCTCCTCCCCCCAGGGCTACCATTTTTGGGGTCCCCACAGCAACGCGATGGTTCTCTGCAGGTAGTCTGGCAGCAACAGCTAGTTCAACAAAGCTCTGGAAGGAGATGCAAGCTCCGCGCATCCTCTCCCGCCAGCCGGGGACCCGGCCCTCGCGGCGCCGCGCTCCGGGGCCCCTCTCTCCCCTGTGACAGCCCGCACGCGGGGTCCCGGCCCCGCCACGGTCCGGATCGGCTTCCCGCGTCCCCTGCAGCCTCCCGGCGCCCCCGAGGGCGGAGACGGCGCGGGCAGGGGGAGGGGCGGGCCTGGCCCGCAGGTCCCCGGCCGGCTGCACGCCCCCTCCCGGCCCCGCAGCTTTCCCGCCTTCCCCATTTGAACAGCGCCCGCCCGCCTTCCTCCTTCGGCCCGCGCCAGCCCCTTCCCGAGGGCGGGCTGCGGCGGCTACTCCAGTCCCCGGCTCGGCCCCCGGGCTAGGCCGCGGCGGGCCTGGGGCGCCCCTGGGGCGGTGTCGCGGACCCCGAGCGGCGGGAGGTTGCGGGGCGGGGCCGCTGCCGCCTCTGGGTGGGGGCGCAGCCCGGTCTCGTGGGGGTTCCGCTCGCCGCTACCTTCACTGGGCTCGCTCGGATCCCGCCTCGGCGCCGCCAACAGCCGCCATCTTGGAGAAGCAGAGAAAAGCGCGAGCGGCTAGGGAGCCTCAGTCGATCCCAGAGCGCAGGCTCGGGCTGCGGAGCGAGCGAGCCGGCTCGAGAAAGAGTGCCGAGCTGATCGAAAGCAACCCTTAATCTGTTGAGCTTCGGCTTCTGCGCGTGGAAACAAGTGTTTATTAAGAATGTTGTTAGCTGCCATCAAGTCAAGTGGGGCTCATAGCGATCCTCTGAACAACAGATCTGAACCGTCCCCTATCCTAGCTGCCCAGTTTTGCACACTTGAAGCTCATTGCTGCAAGAGGTGTCAATCCCCTTGGTTGAAAGTCTCTTTTTCACTGTCCCTCACCTTTCTAAGCATGATGTGGCTCTCCAAGGAATAACTTCTTCTGGCCTCATGCCCAGCTTATGTGAGATGAAGCTTCACCATCCTTGCCCTCAGGGAGCGCTCTGGCTGGATTTTTTTTTCCCCAAGAGTGACTTTTTTCCAAGAGTGACCTCTGATGGTCTAGTGGTGAGGAGCTCTGGTGCAATCTTGAAGACACGCTGTTCGAATCCACCAGCTGCCGCTCAAGAGAAAGATGTGCAAGCCTTTATGACTGACTGCCTCTGAAAGCCTGCTGAGTTGGTCCTGACTTGACCGTACCCAACAACATCAGCACCAGTGTGCCAGGAGAGATGGAGGACAGCTGCCTGGATGACTGGCTGATAGGGAACGATATATTTATGGATATTATAAAACAATATAATTAATATCGCATGCAAACAAAATATTGCTTAAGATCCTTTTAAATTGGCTAGGGCAGTACATTGAAAGGAAACTGCCAGAAGTTCAAGCTGGGTTTGTAAGAGGTGGTGGCACCAGGGAAATCATTGCTGGTGCTAGATGAATCCTGACTAAAAGCTGAGAATACTAGAAGAATGTCTTTTTTTGTCGTTGTTGTTGTTGTTGACTGTGCAGAGGCATTTGTGTGCATTATAATAAATTATGGCTAACATTAAGAAGAATGTTCATTAAGAAGAATCCAAGAACACTTAGTGCTCATATGAAATCTATAATAAGAATGATCTAGACCAAGAAGATATTGTCTGAATCAGAAAGGCTGTGCATCAGGGTAGTATCCTCTCTCTCTATCTATACAGTATGAAAGCTGAGCAAATTACTTGTGAAGTTAGACTTTGTGAGGAAGAAAGTGGCATCAGGATCAGAGGAAGACTCATCAACAACTTCAAGTATGCATATGACACAATTTGCTGAAAGTGAGTAGGACCTGAAGCACTTGCAGAAGATACAAGACTTCAGCCTTCAATATGGATTACACTTTACTGGTGAGAAAACAAAATTCCTCACCACTGAGATAACATCATGATAGATGAAGAAAGGATTGAAATTGTCAATGATTTCATCTTACTTGGAGCCACGATCAACAAATCTACCAGCAGTTAGGAGATAAAGAGCCTGGCTACTTTGAGCTCTGGTGGCATAGTGGCAAGAAGCCAAAGACACATGGTTCGAGGTCACCAGCTGCTCTTTGAGAGGAGGAGCAATCGCCTCCCATGTGAATACTGCCTTCTGAAAACCTGCCAGAGGGTCCATTATGGATTAGTTCTTACTCAACGGTTTACAACAATAACTACTTTGGGCAAAGACAAAAATTTGTTGTGGACCTCTCCAAAATGTGAAGAGTGGTGATTCCAGTGTAATGAGTAAGGTGCACCTGATTCAAACCATGGTCTTTTCAATCACTTGCTGTGCATCAGAGAGCTGGACAATGGATAAGGATGACAAAAAAAGAATTGATGCCTTTGCGTTGTGGTGTTGGAGAAGAGCACTGAACATCTCATGGCTTGCCAAAAGAACAAATAGATAGGTCTTGGAGAAGGTGCAGCCATGGTGCTCCTTGGAGGACAATGTCTATAATATGTTTGATATCCTTGATATTCTCAGAAACGGTTATCATTCTTATAAAGATAAAGGGTTAGTGAAAGAGAAGAGGACTTCCCAAAGAGATGGATTGACACAGTGACTATAAAAATGGGCTCAAATATCTAAGGGAAGGTGACTATGGCACAGGATAGTACAGGACTCAGATCTGTTGTTCATAGGATCGCTGTGAGTCATTCAACTTGATGACATCTAACAACAACAACAACATTTGTTTGTTCTTTTGGTAATTCAGAGGATATCCAGTGCTCTTCTCCAACACCATGACTCAAAGGCATCAACTCTTCTTATGTCATCTTTATTAATTGCCCAGATCTGTCATGATGTTGGTTATCAGTGGTGAGGATTTTTGTCTCCCGATGTTGAGATGCAATCCACATTGAAGGCTGCTGTGGTCTTTGATCTTTTGCAGCAAGTGTTTCAAGTCCTTCTCATTTTTGGTAAGCAAGGTGTGTCATCTGCATAACACAGGATGTTGAAGAGTCTTCCTTCAATCCTGATGCCTAATTCTTCTTCATAGAGTCTAACTTCTGCAATGATTTGCTCAGCATACAGATTGAATAGTGGAGAAAGAACGTAATCCTGGTATACACCTTTGCTCATTTAAAGCCATTCAATTTTCCCTTGCTATGTTCAGACAACAGCTCCTTGGTCTAGGTATAGGTTTCATGTTGTTGTTGTCAAGTGCCATCAAATCATAGACGACTCGTAGTGACCCTATGAATGAAAAGACCTGAACACTTGTATAACTTTGATTTAGAGTGGAAAGTTGATTTACTAAGGGAAGTGAGGTGAGGTGAGGTGATAAGGCCTCCTAATTAAAAACCCATTCAGGCTCTCAGGCCTACAGCCCTTGGGCCTGGTTTAAATTGTTTCTTGGCAAACATTCTTCTACGTGGTATAGCACTGGTCTGTGCATTGCTGTACAGAGGTTAACTCGTGGTTGCTGTGATGCTAAACACTGTGACACTGATATGTCAAATGTGATAATGGTTATCCGTGGTGGACAGTGTTTGGTGAAGCTTCCCGATTAAATCAAGCTTGGGAGCAAGAGTGGCATCTACTTCTGAAATGGCTTGCCTCCAGAAATTCTGTGAACACGGAGAAATGAACTTCAGCCCCATGCTGCCCACCAAAAGGGTTTTTAACGAGGAGGTTTCATATTAGCATATTTTAATTGTTCTGGAATTCCCATTCTACTCAGTGTTAGCCATAGTTCGTTATGATCCACACAGTCAAATGCCTTTGCATAGTCAATAAAACACAAATAAGTGTTCTTTCAGAATTCATTGCTTGCAGCAAGGATCCATCTGACATCAGAAATGATACCATCCCTTTGATGCTAAGCTAGAAGTCTTACAAGCATTTTATTATTTACTTTCACCACATCTCTTTGTGTGGGTTTGATTTCATTCTATAGATGAAAAAAACTATGAAGTACTTCAGTGATTTTTCCAAGGGCACACAAGGAGTTTGTTGGGTTAGGTGGCAAAATGTTCCAAATCTTCTGATTCTTTAGGTAATGTTAATTATTCTAATTCTTAATAATCCTTCCCAAAAGACTTTATTTTCTTTTTTTATTAAATTTTATTAATTTTAATGAACATTTACAGAGATTTTGGGTTTCCATTCATTCATTGTTGCACTTTTTAAGACTTTGTTATTTTCTCCAAGATTTTTTTGTACAGCAACTCTCCCATCATTAGAAAACCTAGTTCCTGAAGATTAAGAGCAGAGATACTTATCTGAAATTTGGCACCTACATTTGAGTGTTTTGTGTATCTGGAGTAGGGGGAAATAACATCTTTATAAAAATATGTTGTTGTTGTTGTTGTTATGTGCTGTCGAGTCGCTTGCGACTCATAGCGACCCTATGTATAACAGCCCTAAACTCTGCTCTGCCCTGTGCGAATCGCACTGTCTCTGACACTCCCATCCCGATTACCCCAGTCACTGAATCAATCCACCTCATAGAGGGCCTTCCCCTCCTGCGCCGTCCCTCCACCCTCCCAAGCATGATGTCCTTCTCCAAGGACCGGTCTCTCCTCACAACATGTCCAAAGTATGTTAGACAGAGCCTCAGAATTCTTGCCTCCAAGGAGCCACCTGGTTTGACCCTTTCCAGGATGAATCTGTTTGTTTTCCTAGCAGTCCATGGTATTCTCAATACTCTTTTCCAGCACCACAGCTCAAAGGCATCAATTCTCCTTCTATCCTCCTTGGTCATTGTCCAACTCTCTGATGCATAACAAGTGATAGCAAAGACCATGGCCAGGGATTATACTCCAAGTCAAAGACATTGCTGGTGAGTTGGCATCAATGCACGAGTAACTCTCCAGTGGGTTTTTAGAGGCTGTAAATCACACAGGAGGAGATTGCCCATCTTACTCATGTGGGGCAGCTGGTGGATTTGAATCACTAGAGAAGCATGGCCTTTATTTAGGCTGACAGTGTAGCTCTTCAGGAATTGCGCCACCAGAGCTTTACCAAGAATTATAGACTTAAAAAAATTAGCCCTCAAATAAGATGGTAAAATCAGAATATTTCCAAATTAAAACTAACCAACCAACCAACCAACCAACCAACCAACCAACCAACCATCACAACCAAACAAATGAAGGGAATTTGCGAAAATTAGAGCAGCCTTAAAACAAATACTTTTTAAAGGATTTGTTTGGATTAAGAGCCAACAGGAAACAAAGCAAAATTAACATACATGACAACATCATTTAGAAACTTAACCAAGGTGTGGAAATACATATAATATCATAAACACACAATACTAATAACAGGGAAGCAGAGGTATCAGTCCCTAACGAAGGATAACTCCATGCAAAAAGAAGGAATAAGACATGTAGTTACAGAACATCTCAGTGGCAAGGAAGTCAATGAGATTTCAAGCTGAAAGTGAACAGCTTTGCACTTGAGAATGAAATAACTTACAGGGTAATCTCCAAGAAGATCAAAGAATTTCACATCAAAATAAGAACACAACCATAAAGCCTTATGCAGTATTTATGAGACTCACTTCACTCAGCATAGTGCTCTCCAGTCACTCCCAAGTTATGTAGTACTTTCAAAACCATT